TTTGGATCAGGTAGTCTGCATCAGGCGTCTTGCGCCATTAAGCGCTTTGACCGTCAATCATATTACTTTGTTGATAGACCGCCGCATATATTGATAGAGTATGCTTGACTTTTCTTTGATATGATATAAAACATCATCTTCCAAGCATTAGCCTGCAATAAAAAACATAAGCATCCTCCTCGCGAGTACAACAGTATGCTCTGATCATTATAAAGCTGTATCGTATTGTCCGAGGTACCATTTTTATCAAATTAATAAGATCGCAAAGTGCAAACTTAAACCTAATATTTATAATATCCATTAGCATCATCACAATAGTTAGTAACTACATACTGTACAGTGATAAATGCAAGTGATTTTCTCCTTTTTGATTTTATTTCGAACATTTGGCAAATTGGAGATTGGAAAGATTATGTTGCCTTACTCTTACATAAAATGTACCATTATTTTTTCAGAGATACAGTAATTAAATTTGCCATTCTTCCAATTCCATACAAATGATAATGAAAGATACACTTGATATCTCTATTATATAATATTATGTAACATGATATTAATCTGGTCAATATTCGATTCTTTCAATCTCTCATAGTACTTACAGTACATCCTTCATAGTGTTTTTTCAACAACAAAATAATATCTGCAAGATAATCCATTTGTTTATCATATCTGCTTAAAGTTCAAAATAAAGGACAAAATGAAAAGTTGTTTATACGTAGCAGATTTTTTTAGATGATCATTTTTAATTTAATCTTTTTTTCTGTCCTGCGTTATATGTATAATTTACTATCAAGACATACTGTATTTTTTACATTTCGTTTGTTTTTACTTTTATATTTATCAGCGTAAATGACTCGAGGTTTTTTATTGTGGGTTGGATTTTCGAGATTGCATATAAATATTTGTAAGCCATGATTAAAATTAATGTAAGGTGTGGACAGGAACGATGAGACTACAGTAAGACAACTAGAAGGTAAGAGACCAGATATGATGAGTGAAGAAAAAGGAACAAGATATAGCAAAAAAAAAAACAACATAACTGAATGATGTTTTATTATTTAAAGACCATGGCAACATATATATACGTTTTACTATCGGTTATTATAATAATGTAAGTAAGCGGAAGAATTGGTATTAAGGTTGATAAGTGGGATGATGATTATCGATATTAATGATTATTGTTGGAGGATTTAATATGTAATCATCGAGGTTGGAAGTGGTCACTAGTAAAGGGTTGAGGAATGTTCGTAAAAAATAACTCCCATCGTACCCCCAGGTCTCACGCAAATCGATAGGATTCGCGGAGGGCAGTTCTCTATAGTGATATATATTCACGAGCAAGTGGTTCTCATAACCAGGATGGTAATACAGTTTATCACTTTTTTCAAATTACAGTAGTTGAATTGGCTTCTAGGGCCTTGAGCTCACCACTCTCTACGATGATGCTATTAGGTCTTTTCTGGTCCAGCTACTGTAATCCATGAGTCCTTTCGCAAAGTTGTAGTATTGATGTGTCCACAAGCGCGAAATTAGCAACGACGCTATGTCTGATGATGGTCGGCGGCGGCGCTTATCTTTTGTGCTGTCCGTACTTGCCGTCGTCAACATTGCAGGATCCATCTTTTACGACATTGGATACCCGACATGTCTTATTCATATGCGATGGATCAACAAGATCAATATATGATCAAATGACAAGCTTGAATTTTAAGAGAAACAACTCGGTAAACAGAGAGAAAGACATAATTATGGCAGTAGACCTTGGTGAAAAAGACGAGCATTATGGTTCAAAATGAGTTTTTCCGACTCTAATTCATAGCCTAACCCTTCGGTTTCTTTTTTATCCAAAAAAGAAAAAAATCGTACGTCTGGACGCGGTGGTGGTTTTTAAATATAAAAAGAACATGTACTTTGGGAGTGCGCGGGAGATTAAAGAAAACAAAAGAAGAAAGACGCGGAAACGCGCTTTTCCCGCGTTGACAGTGTGGACAGCGTTGTAGTACATGAGTCACCACATAGTGACGGAGCATGTTTTTGCTGGTTTATCCCACTACAGATTGATCGGTATATATACACCCACTGTATTAGTCTCATCGACCTGTATATCAAAACGTCTATTTATGTATGTGAAAAGTAAGACCATATAAGGTGGAGTCCTCAAAGGTGCGATGGCGGCGTCTCTTGAAGTTTTGTTATCTGTTGCATAGACATGTTGGAATATACAATCGAAAGAGTGACTTTAGAGTGATGACAGAGGTTCTTGATGGTAACTTGACAACCATCTTATTTGGCACATGCAATCCGTTCTTTAGTGCTAATTTATAGATGATTTGAGTCTCGTTAACTAAAGAAGAGCCACACCTCCAACTAAGGAAAAAGTCTCAAATTCGTATCACCCAGGAGAATTGGGTATCAACAAATAAACAATGAATTTATCGTGGACGCACTACTATGTGTTTGAAGTCGATATGCACGTGTCGGGTGCATCGGTGAGAAGGAGGCGGGAGAAACAGAGCCCTTGTTGCTTTTACTGCGTTGTTATTTGTATGTTTGTTTGTTTGTTTGTTTGAATCTCTGAATAATTAAAGGTGGAATATAGTATGTACAACATGAAAAAGACAACAACAACAACAACAACAATTAGTATGTAGCAATTTTCCACTGATAGAAAGAAAAGAAAGAGATCGGCTGCATTGTCATCGTCACCCGTTGTTGCTAATAATAGCCAACAGAGTGGTTACATATGTACCGACATAACCTGTCGAGCGTCACTTTTTTTTTTTTTTTTTATTTTTTGCCTGTCCTGCTTTCATATTAAGTTTAGTCTCGAAAAGCGAATGGAGCACAAGCAAAAAGTCATGATAGGATATGGTAGCAGCATAGTAGAACCACGGTGCAACAGCTTTATACTAAGCAAAGCCCATTGCGCTCAAAAAAAAAATACAAGATCCAATGCCCGCTCGTCCGAAACATATGCATGCAACTTCAAATTGGAGTGATAGATCCATAGATCGACTTCCAGACTGAAAAGGCGGTCTTCTTGCCTACAGTAACTCTTCTTTTATATCAAAGATGATTGGGGAGAGCGAGGACTTGATTAATATGAAGAAACGCGATGTTGCGCAAGAGTGGCAAGCAAGATGGGTCTCGACGCTTTAGTACAATGTAATGCAATACAAAGAGAAGGTGGGTTGTAACTATGGGGGGGGGAGAGTTTTTTTCTATGACCTAGGTGACACGGGTTGCTTAACCTATATCGATGGTCACAGCTCGTGATATTTCACTTTGAGTACTTCTCCCACTACTGCTGCCACGCGACCCATACAAAGCAGCGTTTTTTTTTTTTTTTTTTTTTTTTTTTGGTCTGACGCTAAAATAAACCGTTTATTCTTTTTCTCGTATAGCGTGCGTGGCATGTAACCAACAACACAAAGCGAGTTCCAAACTTATCACGGGAAGAAACGAGAGCTGGGATGTTGTCATGACCTTGTTCATTTCCCACCATGGGCGGGCCCCATTGTGCCCCGAGGAACAGAATGAACAAAACAGACAGACAGAGAGAGAGACGGGGTTGGGTTTGGGGGAGGGGGAGGAGGAGTTTGTTGAATGAAAAGGAAGCGGGGCCGGGATAGAATCACTCCGTTCATGGTTGCACAGAATGCCAATTATCGTCTCATTTGTATACCTTCTTTCTGTGTGTGCCGTTGCGTTGCGTTGCGTTGTGTGTGTGTGTGTGTGTGCTTGTATTTTGTCCGCGATCACAAACACAGCTGGGCTTTTATGTCTGTCAGTCAGGTTTATGGCTAATCTTTGCTATCCATCCGCAGGTAGTAGCTGCTACTGAACTAAGAGCTGACTTTGTTGCACTGTTCTACATAGTCAAAAGAAAAAGAGAGAGAGAGAGAGTGTGTGTGTGTGTGCGTTTATAGGGTTTTTGAGTTTACGGTGCTAAATTTATCACGTCGCAACTCGGTAAGGGTTGCTGTGGTCGAAAATAGACCATGGTAGCACCAAAGCACGGCAGGCCCAGCATCTTTTTTTTTTTTTTTCTTTTATCCTCTCCTCTCTCCTCTTTTCTTCACTTTTTCCTTTTCTTCCTTCTCTTTCTTTTTTACATCCACCGAGCGTATACCTCAACTAGCTTCACTGGTGTGTCGTCTTGTTTTCTCTCTCTTTCTCTTTCTCTCTCTCTTACCACGTCGTTTCGTCGTTCGGTGGCCATCTACCTCTCCTCCATTCTGTACATCTAGAACCACTTTTTTATTATTTTTTATTTTTTTTGCAGTAACAACAACAGCAACACAAACATTCATCGAGATCGCGACCGGTTTCATCTCGAAGGGGAAGAATAAAGCGAATCTTTCTCACACACTCACAGTATACATCGTCCTTTTTCTTTATTCTCACTCGCAAAAAAAAAAAGGGGGGGGGGGCTGGTTAATTGGTTGGTAGATGTCTTACGCGCGTGCACTGTTTCATAGCATATATCATATTACACAGTATACATCATCATCCAATCCATTCAACTGCATCCATTCGATAAACAGCAACAGAACCGGCTATATCGTTTCTCTAATTTATCTCTCTCTCTCTCTCTCTCTCCTATCCGTAATTCACAACAAGTACAGCATCTATCCACATAATCACCACCACCACCACCACAACAACAACAACAACAACAACACCAGCATCGAATACAACTGCAACAAACGATGCAAGACGACTCACGAACTGATCTGGCGTGCTTGCTCACCACAGCAAATCAGCCACCGTCTGAAGACAGCGTCGTCAATCTTCTGCAGAGCCGGTTCAAGCGCAACCAAGTCTATACCCGTGCAGGCCATTCGAACCTGATAGTCATCAATCCCTACCAGCCATTGGAGACATTGAATGATGCGACGCTGCAAGCATACGCCGACGCAGGATACAGGGACGTGTCGGAGAACAAGCCGTTCCTCCAGCCACATGTTTACGATCTGGCCGCCAGAGTGTATTTCCATATGCGACGGACTGGGGAGGATCAGAGCATCGTTCTCAGGTTTGTGTGGTCTTGCTTTTTTTTTTATTTTTCTCAAAAGAAGGAAAGAAGGAAAAGAGAGACAAGGAAAATCGATCATCCAGCGAGTAGTGAGCGAGAAACAGACGCATTCACAGCGCAGAAAGAGATAGATTGATTAAGGAGAAGGGGAGTGAAGGGGGCCTAAGAGAGAGGGGCGGGGGATGGGTGGAAGAGGAGAGGGGTTTGTACTGGAGAAGCAAACGTGCTACCATTGGTCACTTGGTTTTGTGGGACGGGGGGGGGTAAAGCACTTGATTTGGAGGGCTGTAATCCTATTTTGGGCAAGTTACTTACTTTCCATACCGGCAACCATGGTTATAACAGTGGCATCACCGGCTCCGGCAAGAGCACAACACGATCGCATCTGGTCACGCAGCTGACGTTGTTATCGACGCACAGCAAAAAGGAAAACAAGCTGCAGCAGCAGATCCGCAATGCAGCCGTCATTCTCGAGTCCTTTGGCCATGCACGCACCACCCAGAACAGCTCGGCCTCCAAGTTTGGCATGTTCCAAGAACTGCAATTCAGCGAGCGCGGCCGCATTCTCGGCGCAAAGACGCTCACCTATGCCTTTGACAAGGCACGCGTGTCAACCGTCCCGCTCAACGAGCGAACCTACCATGTCTTTTATGCGCTGATGGCCGGTACGACCCTTGACGAAAAGAACGCGCTGCACATCAACTTTGCATTCGACTACTTCCACTACCTCAACCAATCTAAATGCATCACCGTCAGCGACCGGAACGACGAAATCAGCTTTAGCGACCTCAAGAGTGCGCTCAAGGTGTGTGGCTTCAAGGCCAAAACAGTGACCCAGATCTTCCAGCTGCTTGCTGCCATCCTGCATCTGGGCAACCTCGAGTTTGTCGACAGTCGCGAGGGCGACATGATGGCCCAGGAGACCTGCAGTGTCAAGAACCACAAGGTGTTGGAAGTCGTCTCTGCCATGCTCGGAGTTTCTCCCTCCAAACTTGAAACCGCGCTGACCTATAAGCTTCGCTTGATCCGCAAGGAACTGTGCACCGCGTTTATGAATGCCCAGGGCGCCACCGAACAGCGCGATCAATTGGCACAGGCTTTGTATCATGTCTTGTTCCTCTGGATCGTCGAGTCAATCAACACCAAGATTTGCTACTCCGACCGTGAGCCGGCCAACTTTGTCGGTATTCTTGACCAGTTTGGTTTCCAGAATTTCAAGGACAATGGCTATGAAGAGTTCTCGGCCAACTTTGCCAACGAGCGAGTGCATCAGTTCTTGATCAACCAACGCTTCAATGACGACGAAGGAGTGAATCAACTCATGCTACGTGACGGTGTTCCACTGCCACACGTCATGACCATGGACAACTCGGGCTGTTTGGATCTGTTGATCGGCAACAGTGATCCAAAGTCGTTGGCAAAACCCTCTTCATTGGGCGGTATGGTCGGTTTGATCGACCGCGATTGTGCCAAATACCAAAGCGGTGCTACGGATGCCACGGACGCCAACTTGCTCGCCAACTTACAACGACAATATGGTTCTCACTCGTCATTTGCAAAGACAACACAGACTTATTCGTTCGGTATCAACCATTTCTCCGGCACTGTCCATTACACCGTCGATGGGTTCGTAGAAAAGAACTTGAACAGCTTGTCGCCTGATTTTGTCACCCTGTTGCGTGACAATAGCTCCAATGCCTTTGTCACCAATCTGTTTCAGAGCTCGGCCATGGCGACCGAGTCGCATCCCAAGGATCAACGGACGATTGTCAAGGCCCAGTTGACGAGTAAACCCACACGTGCACCCTCCATGAAGCGACCAGGCACAAAACGACGAGCAGCACGTAATGCTGAAGCTGCTGCTGCTGCTGCTACTACCGACGACAACAAGGACAGCACTACAAAAACAGCAGAAGAGAGTGAGGGCAAGGATGATCAAGACTACAGAAACGTAGAAGTGACGACCGTGCTTGACCAGCTCTACATGACACTACGCGACCTATTCGCAACAATGTCAGACACGCGTATCTACAACATCATCCACCTGCGGCCTAATGACATGCAGACGGCCGACATGTTTGACATGAAACGCATCAAGTCGCAAGTCCGCGCATTCTTGTTGCCCGACTTGACGTTACGCTGTGGCGAAGAATATGCCAACTACTACACGTTTGGTGAATTTCTGATACGATACGAACGATTGGTCATGTCGTTACAGATTGATGAGTCCAAGTCGGAGCGGAGCATGGCCGAGTCGGTGTGTGCCATCATGAATTGGACACAGACACAAGCCTATGTCGGCAACGACATGATTTGGTTATCGTTTGACACGTGGAAGGAGCTCGAGGACAATCTACGTGCGGCGGAAAAGGAAGAACGTGCACGGATGAAGGCAGCAGGCGGTGTTGTGGGTGGTGATGGCAATACTGATTTGATGAGCGATACCATGGACGTTGAACATCACAACCAGCAACTCTATGATTATCAGGACAGCAATGATCGATTACTTCCTCCTGGTGCCGGCTATGGCGAAGCAGGCCTCGGCGCCGGTTTTGCTGCAGGTGCAATGCCACGGTCCTCGGTCTTTGAAGATGGCGCAAGTTATATCGAAAGCGATTACGGAGGCATGAAGCGCGAGGTGGATGGCAGTCAGTGGGGCGAAGAGTCCGAATGGGGTATGAAGGGACTTGCAGAAGGGTAAGCTTGTTTTTTTTTTTTTTTTGACCACAACCACTTTTAACAAAATGGTGCTGATACCCTGTGTATAATAGATTTGGCCCCAACATGGATATGAGCAAGATGGTGGAAGACTATCAGGCACCACAAAACGAACAAGTCGAAGAAATGCCCATCACAACCCTCCGTATCTGGTGGGTCCGTTTCGTGTGGCTCATGACCTGGTGGATCCCGACGCCATTCTTACGATGGTTTGGCAAAATGAAACGTGAAGATGTCCAAATTGCGTGGCGCGAAAAAGTGACCATCTGTATGCTTATTTTCCTCTTTTCTGCCGTGGTCATTTTCGTCATTGTTGGACTTGGTGAAGTCGTATGTCCCGGCACGCGGACCATGTATTCGGCCGGTAATGTCAACGCACACAACGTCAAGGACGACATGTATGTCAGCCATCGTGGTGTGGTGTATGACGTGACTGGATTTGCACGCAGTGAACACGGAACCACGGCCCTGCCTGCGGGTCCGGACGAAATGGAAGCATTGGCTGGTATGGATGTATCCTACACGATCCCGCCACCTTTAACGGTCGCCTGTCCTGGTCTTGTCACTTCGAGCACCATCAGAATCCAAGCCAACACGTCGATCGTGGTCGGTCCTTTCCAACACTATTCGGGTGACCAGTTGGCCATCACGTCGTTGACAAAGATGCAAAGCCAGTCGTGGTATCAGAACCACTTTTTGCCACAGATGAAACTCTACAAAAAGGGCAGCCTTGTTATTCCAATGAACACGCTCAAGGAAGACTATGAAGGTTGGAGTCGGTATGCCATGGCCATCAACGGCAAGGTCTATGACTTGACCGACTATTTCACCACATCCGAATACTATGGCAGCGGCTCTAATGCCAACGACTATGCGTTCTTGTCGACCAACGTTGAAGAAATCTTTAAAAAGTTCAGTGGTACTGATGGAACCGACAACTGGAACACGTATACCGCATCCATGTCCGCGGAAGAACGTAACATGAACCTCAATTGTCTGAACAATTTCTTCTATATCGGTGACATGGATGTACGCGATTCGCCCCGTTGTTCATTCACCAACTACCTGTTGCTCAGTTTCGCCATTATCATGTGTTTGGTCATCGTCGTCAAGTTTTTGGCCGCACTTCAATTCGGTGGCGCGCCCACGCCCGAAGACCACGACAAGTTTGTCATTTGCCAAGTGCCTTGTTACACCGAAGGCGAAGAATCATTGAAAAAGACAGTTGATTCATTGACAGTGATGAACTATGACGACAAGCGCAAACTGATTTTCATTATTGCTGACGGTATGATTATGGGTGGTGGTAACGATCGTCCTACGCCCCGTATCGTATTGGATGTCCTCGGCTACGATACCAAGAACGATCCCGAACCGCTCATGTTCAAATCGATCGGTGAAGGTTCGAAGCAGCTCAACTATGGCAAAGTCTACTCGGGTCTGTACGAATGCGAAGGTCATGTGGTGCCCTATATCGTTGTCGTCAAGGTCGGCAAGGCCTCTGAACGTGCCAAACCGGGCAATCGAGGCAAGCGTGACTCCCAATTGATCTGCATGAACTTTTTGAACAAGGTCCATTTCGACGGTGAAATGACGCCGCTGGAGCTGGAAATGTATCATCAAATCAAGAACGTCATTGGTGTCAACCCGTCGTTTTATGAATATGTGTTGATGGTTGATTCGGACACAGAGGTCCATACGAATGCGCTGAACCACATGATTTCTACCATGCTTCACGATGGCCGTATCATTGGTCTTTGTGGTGAAACGCAGCTGGTGAACGAAGACAAGTCGTTGACGACCATGATCCAGGTGTACGAGTACTATATTTCCCATCATTTGGCCAAGGCGTTCGAGTCGTTGTTTGGTTCCGTCACGTGTTTGCCCGGTTGTTTCTGTATGTACCGTGTCCGCACGCCCGTCAAGAACGAGCCATTGATCGTGTCGCCCAAGGTGATTGGTGATTATTCGGACAACAACGTCGACACGCTGCACAAAAAGAACTTGCTCCACCTGGGTGAAGATCGATACCTGACAACACTCATGATGAAGCATTTCCCGCAATACAAGATGAAGTTCACGCCCTATGCCCAATGTAAGACCGTCGCTCCCGAACAATGGCAGGTCTTGCTATCCCAACGTCGTCGATGGATCAACTCGACCATCCACAATCTGTTTGAACTGGTCCTGCTTCCCGATTTGTGTGGTTTCTGCTGTTTCTCGATGCGTTTCGTCGTCTTGATCGACTTGATCGGTACCTTGACCCTGCCCGTCTCTGTCGTCTATCTCGTCTATCTCATCTACATCATCGCTTCCGGCACCGGTCCAATCCCCATCTTGGCACTGGCCATGTTGGCAGGTGTGTATGGTCTGCAAGCGCTGCTGTTTATCCTGAAACGCGAATGGCAACATATCGGCTGGATGATCTTTTACATTCTCGCCATCCCGGTGTTTTCCTTCTTCTTGCCCGTCTATTCATTCTGGCACTTTGACGATTTCTCGTGGGGTAACACGCGTGTGGTCGTCGGCGACAAGAAACAAAAGAAGATCATCATGAACGACGACGAAAAGTTTGACGAAAAGATGATTCCGCTCAAGAAATGGAGTGTCTATGAGCAAGAGCTTTGGGAGATGGGATCTACGGGCTCGCGCGAGACTGGTGTCACCGGCCATAGCTATCGCAGTTACTATTCGCAAGGAGGTGCTCCTCCAATGGTTCCTGGTTCAGGTGGTTCGGTGATCTATGATAATCGTACCATGTATGGCGGTGGTTCGCAAGCCGGTGGTGATTATGATTATTATCGCGACACGCAAGTCGCTTCTGATCCAACACGACGACCACGGTCCAAGAGTCCCATGCTCGGTGGTGCGCCAGTGGGAGGAGGCGGCTATGCTGGTTCAGTGATTGCTGGATCCGAGTATGGTGGTGGCGAATACCTGATGACGCCTCAAATGAACCGTGGCTCCCGCACACTCTCTGTAAATAGCTTTGGTAGTCCGGACATGATGATGCAACAACAACAACAACAACAAATGGATCAACGAGGCAGCTTTATGCCGCCCATGGACCAGCGTGGCAGTGTCATGCCGCCTATGCCACCGATGGACCAGCGAGGAAGCTTTATGCCACCGATGGACCAACGAGGAAGCTTCATGCCGCCTTCAAATAACCAGCAAGGACAATGGGGCCAATACCCACATTAAAAAAAAGCAATCAACGTCCCTTTTTCCTCACAACCATCACCATTATCAATCATCTCGTCCAAAGCACATAGTCTTATTCCCTCTCCCTTCCTGCTTTCTTCTTCTTCTTCTTCTTCTACTACTACTACAACTACCAAAAACTTCCACTTGTTCAACCCCTCACACACACAAAATATATATTTTACTTTTGCATTCGCAACATCTTTTTTTTTTATCTTTGTGATATTATTCTTCGTAATAAAAAAAACATAACATTTACTCTTAGAAACCTACTCTCGAAAATTTTAAAACCTGGATTCGAAACGCGCTTGTGGAACCATATCTTTTTTTATGCCAGAACCAAAAACAAGAGTGTTAATGGTAAAGCCAATGAGCTACAAAAAATAAAAATATCCCCCATTGCCAAACGTGCCATTAAAACATAAAGCTTATTGATGTTGTTTTCTGCCTATTCTCTTTAATGGTGTATAGGTGGCTGAAAAGCCCTCATTAGCCGAATCACTAAGTAGACTATTAGCACCTGGTGGACGTGTAAGCAACTGTTTTTTAAACTACTATAGATACACACACACACATACAAAACGCGTAACTACAAGCCAAACAGCTTTATGGTTTAAAACACCTATTGACCATTTTTTAAATTATAGTACGAAACGCATCGACGCACAACGCCAGTCCATGAATGGATAGGCCCGTTTCGTAACGATCCAGCAGCACAGATCCGGTTCACGTCCGTCACTGGCCATGTGTACACCTTGGATTTCACGTCCGACTATAACTCGTGGGCGATCGAACCACAGTTATTGTTTAGTGGTACGGTGCGCAAATCGGAATCGAACCCAAAAATGCGATTGACACAGCATTTGGTCAATGAGGCCAAACAAGTGGATGTCTTGGTTCTGTGGCTCGATTGTGATCGTGAGGGCGAAAATATTTGTTTTGAAGTGATAGGTAACGTTATTATTATTTTGGGGGAACACACACTAATGGGAAAGACACTTTTTAAAAAGAATTATGGGCTCCCCCCCCCTGATATTTAGGCAATTGTAAACCGAACATGAATAAGCCCGCGCAAATCTTGCGTGCAAGGTTTTCTGGTAACATAAGAAAAAAAAATGTTTATCTTTTATAGAGAGAGTCTCGATAGGATGATGATGGACAAAACGAAAGGGATGGGGGTCTTGGCATATTATATATTGATATGAGGACATGCATTCTATGTTTCAGCAATCACGGCAGAAGAAGTACGACGCGCCATGCAGAACCTGGGTGCACCTAATGAAAACGAAGCCAAGGGTTGGTTATCCTTTATATATCTTCCCGAAGCAAAAGGATAACTTTTTTTCTAAATTAGAGAACCCCCCCCTTTTTTTTTTCTTTTTTACTATAGCGGTGGATGCGCGTCAAGAAGTTGATCTCAAAGTAGGCGTTGCATTCACACGTTTCCAAACCCGATTTTTCCAAGGCAAATACGGCAACCTCGATTCCACTGTGATCAGCTATGGACCCTGTCAAACGCCCACGCTTTCCTTTTGCGTGGAACGGCATGATCGTATCCAAAGTTTCCAACCAGAAGCCTTTTGGTCCCTCGTGGCGACTATCCAAAAGGATAATCAAGCGCAGCAACTGACGTGGGATCGGGAACGGTTGTATGATCATCAGGTCGCACTTTTGTTCTTGAACTCCATCGAGTCGAAACATGCTACAGTTTTGAGTGTGGATGTCAAGAAAAAGTCGCGACAACGACCCCATGCGCTAAATACGGTAAAAAAAAAAAAAACCAGTTTTGTTGTTGTTGTTGTTGTTTTAGCTAAAAAGACGGGATAGGATTGGGTTATAGATATTTAGTATTTTGTTGTCTTGCTAAATTCATGTATATGTTACTAGGTTGAGTTATTGAAGCATTGCTCCTCCGGATTAGGCATCAGTCCAAGTGAAAGTGTAATGTAAAACAGAAGGAGAAGAACGACAGGGAGGACACCATTTATGCTTATACATTTTTTTTTGCTCGATAACTCTACTCAACAGATGAGCATTGCTGAACGGCTTTATACACAAGGTTATATTTCGTATCCACGTACCGAAACATCAAAGTATCCCGAAAGTTTCGACTTGATAAGTGTGCTCAAAGAACAATCTAATCAGTCAAATTGGTAATTCATAGTGAGGGCCAAGCGTGTATGTAAATGTGTCACTCTATTAACTCTGTTTTGGCACTCTATCATAAATGCCCTGAATATAAATGACATAGGGGTCATATCTGTGAAGACTTGCTCCTGAATGGATTCCAAAAACCCACTGGTGGTGTAGATATTGGTGATCATCCACCCATGTAAGTTCTCTTCTTTTCTTTTGTGGTTCAATCAAGTGGAACTTATCGATGACCGTTTAGTACACCTATGCGGGTTGCAGAGGAAGGTGATTTATATGGCGATACCTGGCGTATCTACGATTTCATCGCAAGAACATTTATCGGTTCCATCAGTGCCAATTTGCAATACACAACAACCACCGCAAAGATTGCGATTGGCAACGAACGGTTCGAGTGCAAGGGTAATGGCCTCCTTTTTTTTTTCTGTATTGCTATGGTGTGCTTTATGAAATACATAACTCAACGGTAACAACAACACAATGTTATATACAGGATCACAAACAATATCGCCCGGTTTCTCAGCAGTGATGCATTGGTTGACCAAGCCGGACGAACCGATCCCTGAATTCCAAAAGGACGAGACACTTGCGATCACGTCTCTCACATTACGCGAAGGCAAGACGAGTCCACCCGACTATTTGACCGAGGCCGAATTGATTGGATTGATGGAACAAAACGGCATTGGCACAGACGCCAGTATTCCTACACACATTAACAATATCTGTCAACGGAACTATGTCAATGTGACCAGTGGAGCACGACGCCTTGTGCCGACTAACCTGGGCATTGTTCTCATTCATGGGTAAAGTACATATATCCATTATATCTCTCTCTCTGTGTGTGTGTGTGTGTGGTTTTTTCTTTGGCTTAAGATTACATGCTACTATGTTATGTGATCTTTGTATTGACACCTGTCACTTTATGCAAAAACCTTTGTTCTTCTCACCCTGCCCTTTTCCCTTGAATATTTTTAGATATCGTAAGGATTTGAACTATTCCGTAAAGATTCTACACATCAACGGAAAGAAGTCTAACATAGCATCTAAATCAAAATTGCTGTAATAGAAAAAATCGATCCTGAATTGTCCCTCCCAACGATGCGGTCAGATATGGAGCAGCAGCTAAACTTGATCGCCTCAGGCAAGGCCTCTCAAAAAGAAGTCCTGCAGTACTTTTTGGACATGTTTGAAAGCAAGTTTGCTTACTTTGTCAAGCATGTAAGCAATTTCCATCATCTGTGTTCTTTCTAGCGTTTTCAAGGGAAAATGATGCAAGTTTAAAAAGTAACACAGTATCCATGGGAAAATACCTTTAGGTTGAAGCTATGGATGAATTATTTGAAGCAACATTCTCGACTTTGGCGGCTTCTGGCAAGCCATTATCCAAGTGCGGTAAATGTAAAAGGTAAAACGAGTACGACACAAGTATGCATACCTGCAATAGCGAGTAACCCTCTTGTTCTTCTTTTGTTAGATATATGAAATATATTGCTCTCAAACCAAATCGACTGCATTGCCCAACGTGTGATGAGACATATTCTCTTCCAATGAATGGAAATATAAAGTTATACCGAGAGCTTCGATGTGTAAGTTTTGTTTTTACATCAAGCTAACAGGCTGTAGTGGGAGGGCTGGACCACGGAAAAGGGGAAGCGATATGTATATAGAGAGAGTATTTGTTTGTTTGTTCTAAAATCTCTTTGTATAGCCCTTGGATGACTTTGAATTGGTACTGTATTCGACAGGATCAAAAGGCACTGGATACCCGATCTGTCCTTATTGTTATAACCATCCGCCTTTTGAAAACTTTAAGAAAGGTAAAGCCACCTGTATCTTTGTAGACCTACATCAAAGAGAAAAGAGAACTTTTGCTGATGTTTTATCTGCAGGCATGGGATGTAATCAGTGTCTCCATCCTACGTGTCAACATTCGATGGTACGCAACGCAGTCTGTCCATGTCCCGAATCCGAACAACAAGTGGATCCCTGCCAAGGGCGTCTGGTTCTGGATGCAACGTCTGCCCCTCGATGGAAACTCAGCTGCAATGAGTGTAACATTGTCTCTACTTTTCTGGATACCATTAAGCGTAAAGTATACATGTATACACATATGCATCTATCCCTCAAATTTAATGCTAATTTGGATTACATGTAACACGTGGTGTGTGTGTCTGTCTCTCTCTTTCTGTCTCTCTAGATGTCAGCATACTGCAAAACGAAATGTGTGAAGACTGTGGCACGGTGATTCTCAAGGCCGAGTTCCGAGAGAACCAAAATAAAGCACCTGTCAGTGGTTGTGTCATGTGCGATGAAGAGATGGAGGCCTTGCTAGCGACACGGTTTGCAAGGAAAAGTGTACGACGGCGTCATGGCGGAAAGAGACGGCGACGAAAGTGGGTTGATCCGAAACTGCGAAAGTTGTATGCAGACATGCGATAAAAATACACCTTTCTCCTCCTTTTTCTCAGCTTTTAGCATTCTTTTCCTTTTTGTCCTTTTTGTACAACAACAACAATTACAATACATTATGACCAGACTCATTGCTGTTCTCAGTGCATTCGCTAGCATATTGACTGTTGCTGCTAGTGAGCAACAAATGCATTTTGCCAATTTCGAAGACAAGTATGTCCTACTGGGAGTAAAAAAGGTGTAGGGGAGGTGTGAAGGCGACGGCGCTAGAAGAAAAAGGAAAAACTAATGTGGACAACAACAAATACCAGACACATGCAGGACGCTCATGGAGTTGAAGTTTTGGATGAAGTTGCTTTTTTCAAAATCCACGACAGCAATGGTGATGGGTATTGGGACGAAAGCGATTTACGAGCAATGTATGGGCTGGAGCGAGACATTGATCCAAATGCACACCATGTGCGCACGATTGTGGATCGAGCACTGCAAGATTTGGATAAGGACAAGGATGGCATGATTTCGCTGGCGGAATACATGAAGAGCCAGTTACCGGACTGGACACCCGAGGAAGTGCGTGAGGAGAAGCAATGGATGGACCATCACCCACCGCAAAAGGGTACACCTAAATCGTTTCACCACAGTGAACAACCTCAATGGTCCACGGACGACGACGACGACGACGACGACGAACAAGAAGAGGCAAAGGATAACAAACACGAACAGCAGGAAGGACAAAGAGAGGGTGATTTTGTACCGGATAAGTTTAGAGCCAACTAAATAATAAAGCAGTGCTTGGCTGACACTACCAGTATCAGGTCATATCATCACAAGGTCTTCTACGTTTGTTGCTGTTGACAGATCCTTAAAGAAGTAACATGATGTCACTTTAAAAAAGTGCACTAGTGCAGAGATTTTCCTGGCAACAGTAACAATAGCAGCAATGAAACGGGGGATGAACTATTTTCGACCCAGCAACAAAATTCAACATCTGAAACAGAAACAAGGTTTTTTGCATTAAATAAAAATGACTCGTCGAGCACTGGCAACTTTTTTTAAGCCTTTCTTTTTTTTTTTCTCTTTTTTTTTATATTACACACACACACACAACCCTTCTCTTTCTTACTGCTACCACTAGCTAGGACTCGAGACAATGATCAGCAAAATCATCGACAAGGCGAGGAAACCCTTATCGTCATCGCCTCAAGGAAAGTTCGAAGCCGTCCACCAGCTCCCGCACCGGCAAGAGGACAATCGACTCGACGTGTCTTCAACATCGTCAGCAACGTCGCCATGTATGCCGCCGACACCTCGTGCCTCTGCAGAAAAACATATGAACGACCCACGTAAGAAAAGCAGGGCTTCCTTTGGTTTACATTATAAACCTCATTGTTGATAAATTGACTTTTCTTTGCACCAGCACAACCTGCTTCTTCACCCTCTTCGCTTCACCTACGAAACAGTCAGCCACCCTTCTGTAAATTTTGGTTTTTCCATTCTCAGCATTTATGCGCCAACAATAAGGACTTGGATTTTTACAACAACTAAAAAAACAATCATGTTGTATAGTGCAACAGCTAGCGCCTGAAGAAGTGTATCCATCATCACCACCATGTTCACCACAACGAACTGATCAAGAGCAGAAACAACAGCCTGAAGATGACGATGAACATCAAGTAGTACACCTCATGGACGACGACCAAGACAATCCCGAAGACGCATCGACACATGCACCCGTCTTTTCCAGCGACTTTGTGTCAGAGAGCTCAGCCATGGAAAACAAACAACATGGAAAGGATTTTGTTGAAGAAGGCGGTCAAATAGCAGCAAAAGAACAAAAAGGAGACGAAAAGCAGCAAGTGGGCGAGCATGCAAAACTCGAACTGACAGACTTTCGACTCTTGCGTACGCTGGGCACTGGATCATTTGGTCGCGTCCATCTTGTTCAATCCAAACATAACGGACGATACTATGCCATCAAGGTGCTCAAAAAGATGGAGATCGTGCGACTCAAGCAAGTGGCACACACGAAAAACGAGCGCGACGTGCTGATGAGCATATCACATCCGTTTATTGTCAATCTTTGGGGAACGTTCCAAGATGATGTTAATCTGTACATGGTCATGGATTATGTGCCCGGTGGTGAATTGTTTTCGTATTTACGAAAGTCCAAGGTATGTGTATCATAATGGGTAGACCGGTCGGCAACATTCATGCTTTTCTCTCTTTCTTTGCATACGTTGTAATAATCCTGATGACCTTTATATCAATGTCAATAGCGATTTTCTGAATCAACGGCCAAGTTTTACGCAGCAGAAGTCTTACTGGCCATTGTGTAAGTGACATGTCCTGCTTACAATGTTTTCACGTGCAAGCGTAATTAAATAATAATTAAAAAAGAGACTGATGCATAAAAACGAGTGTAGATATCTCCATGGGCACGATGTATGCTACCGAGATCTGAAACCCGAAAACATCTTGATTGACTCGACCGGCAATATTCGCATTACTGATTTCGGCTTTGCCAAACGGGTGCCCGATGTGACATGGACACTGTGTGGAACTCCGGACTATCTTGGTAAGGGAGTAGTTTAATCATTTTCTCTGGCTGAATACGTACGTTGGACTCATATCTTTCGGTATTGTACGCTCAAAAGCACCCGAAGTGATTCAATCCAAGGGGTATGGCAAAGCAGTTGATTTTTGGTCATTGGGCATCCTCATCTATGAAATGCTGGCAGGGTAAGAAGAAACAAAAAAAAAAGTCATGTGATTTGGCAGGGTGTGCATAGGTCTGACATGTGTGTGTGTGTATGTGGGTTTCTAGTTATCCACCTTTCTATGACGAAAGCCAGTTTCGACTGTACGAGAAGATTCTTACCTCGGAACTCAAGTTTCCACCCCATTTCAGTGCCGAGGCACGCGATTTGCTCAAACACTTGCTAACCTCGGATCTGACGCGACGCTATGGAAATCTGAAGAATGGCTATCGCGATGTGACTGAGCATCCATGTAAGGATATGATTATTACTTGCTGTGTTTTCATAGACAGTTTAACATTTACATTTTTTGACGATAGGGTTTGGTGATATGGACTTTGAAAAGATGTTACATCGCCAAGTCCCTGCACCCTATGTTCCTCCGCTTTCAGGCGACGGCGACGCAAGCAACTTTGACCAATATCCAGAAGAAAAGATGCCGTATGGTTTACCGCATTCAGACCCTTATGGTCGTTACTTTAAAGAATTCTAAAGGATTAACAGCTACTTCTTCCTTCGTCCCTCCCACACCTTCAAGCATCTTTTTTCTTACTGTATATTTTCTCACCGTCTTATTGTATATATAATTTTTGGGGATAAAATCCACGCACACTCACAGATTTTTTTTTCTTTTCATGCACATCATAAAGCAAATCTATCATTTCGCTAACTGCCAATGAAGAGAAATACACAAGAAGAAAAACACGCGGATTTATTTTTTTTCTATTATGACATATGTCAAATGATCTTTTGTGCCACCGTCAATAACAGAAGGGGCGGGGTGTCTTGCATTAATCAAGTGTCAAAAATGATTCCGCGGAACACGAGGCAGAGCAGATTTAAAAAAGTACAGCGATTGTGATCGATGTACAGTACCAATAATGGCTCCTTTCGAATATGCGTGTAACAATAACGTATTGATATACCCCATGCTGTTTATGCAATTTCAAAACGCCGGTTCCTACTGTATTGTAGAAGTATTGTGGTCAAAAGTAAATATGGGTGAGTATGCAAGATTTAATCACTATAATTACAAGCAACCTCAATACTAATTACTCTGATATATATGTTTCGGAAGAAGGCATAGGTTGAGTGAAAAGGAACAGTTGATATCAAGATTAACTAAAGCTGTCAAAACGTCTATGGAGCATGGCTGTATTGGATGGATTAAGCACTCAAAATGCTTTCCTTGGAAAACAGCTTTTATAGCTAGCTGTGCTTCTCTTTCTCATATAATATATATATAATTCTAACAATATATGCGACGGTCTATCAACAAAGTAATATGATTGACGATAAAAGCGCTTAATGGCGCAAAACGCCTGATGCAGACTACCCTAATCCAAAATACTCATTCCGTAAGCGTTCTTGTTTGGAAATCGAGTTTTGCCTTGGGTTTTAGAGCACAAACGCCCAAATAAACAAACAATCAACATTGTATGACTAAATTGAATTATGTAGTGCATTTTATTGCAAAAGCAATCTTGCCATGTCAATTTGTTCGTCGACTTCGTCAATCTCATCGTCAATTCGACGTCTCTTTTTTATCTTCTTTGCTCTTTTTACAAGCATCTCAGCTAGTCGGTCCTCTGTGAACCTATAAATTATGTTGAATTAGCACGGAATATCACCAACCATTATCTTTTTCCAGAAGCCCCAATAAGAATGAAATAATATCTTCATGCAAAAGAATCAAATACCTTTTGCCTAGAGATGACGCCGCAGCAGAGCTGGGAGCTGAAAAGTCCACTCTTCATGACGACAAACAACGACTTCGCCGTTCTCCATCGCGGGCAGCACATCAACCTCGCGCAAACCAAACATAGAGTTTTGATGCCCTTGGTATGTGTTGTAAAACACTGAAGCATTGACGTGGGTGGCGAAGTGAATATAGCAATAACTATATAGGATACGTTAGTATGCCACTTAATAAAATTACATAAACTCTGAGTCAAACATACTCTGCGTCTATGTGCTTTACTGCTGTTTTTTAAACCTAGGAGCTTGCTGTTTCTCATGATGGTGTTATATAGCTCGATGCCGTCAAGTTGTTGTAAAGCGCGACTCTTGAGCCGCACTTGGCGGTTTTAGGGTCGTAGCATTTTTTGGAAGAAAGAAACCACGAACAATTGAGCGGGTCGTGGAAAAGGGAGTTTTTGCATCAGCTCAAAGATGAAATCGAAAAAAAGAAAAAACGATTACGTCCACTGGTATTTATACAGTAACTTAAAGCCAATCAATCACACAGAACGAACACGTCAGAGAATTATTGAACAAACACGTCAACCCTTCGTCAATGTTTTCCCGTACTAGGGTGCAGCGGGAAGCAATTGCAGAAAATTCATGCATCGGGAACTTGCCTTCCCACGAGTCCTGTCAGACTCTTACTCCTTCCCCTTCATTCTTTCTCCATTCATGACACATAAGCAACTGGTTATTAAAAGGAAGAGCTGGTCTTTAGCTTTAAAATGAGACTAATATTATGTACAGTTACGACGTTAAATTGTGGCGGAATATTGCTTTGGAAATTGCCTAGTTTCAAAAAGACTATGCCAGGTTCCCCTTCACCGTGTCTAGAACTTGTTTCTCGAACAATCAAATCTGAAAAATCTTACAGTGCTTGGTGTTGATGTTAAGTTCGGCCACCTAACTTGATGGTTGAATCTATGAACGAGCTAAAGTAGGGCACTCTGTGGCTCAATATGGTCTTGGTAATTCCGTACGTATTCTCCCGTAGTTGATCGGGCGATTCGACAATGGCTTTTGTGAGTTTTTGAAGCGTTTCCAGACACATCTGACCATCGCTGACTGGTTCTGCCTCTAGAATATCTGATCGCCTCTGTCACATGCGTAGAACCTTCGTGTTATCCGTTTTGCTGTGATATACCCATATCCTGGAGTAATTTGACGAGAGCAATAGTTCATCAACAATCAAATACGACATGACGCTCGCTGATGGATTTTCTTGGACACAAAAAGTTACATACCCTTCGGATTGCATCAACCCAACAATAATGACCTAATGAATAACGTCGTTTAGCCTATAAACGAGGCATGTATTGTGTGATCTAGAACCTGTACCGACAGTAAACGTCATTGGCAAAACTTTAAAAGAAAAAAAGCTTGTAGTATCATAGTAACAGAAGCGATTGAGAATTGTGTGCAAGCTTCTATAAACTTCCCAGTGTGTAAGCAACATTCGTCATTCAATACCATATATACAAGTATGTATGTCCGTGGTAATATATAAGGATATTGCGTTGAACTTGTAAACAATCGTATCAGAGCACAGGCGATACAGGATATGTAGAGATGCAGTTATGTACTTTTATATCTGTGGGCTTCATTACACTTGGTTGCATCAGTGTTCGATCGGCTGTTTGTTGTACATAATAATAATGCCTCGGATTTGCCAACCGACTAAACTGAAGTTCCTCTTGAAAGAACTGTTAAGAAGTTCGTTTTTCGAGGTACTGGGGGCACAAAATCGGTCTTAGAGACGCATGTATAGTGATATCCGCGCGCCTTCATAAAGAGCATTTGATGTTGTATGATGTTAAATGATCGACGGTCAGGGTGCGAAAAAGTCTTTTGCTGAGTAAACGTCATTTTCGATTGTGAAAAGTAAAGTCCTGTACTGTCGATGTGGTGTTGGTGTACAATTGATTTGATATATCTTCTCTGGCTTTGCACTTTCACGACTTTGTTTACACTATATGTCTCAAGGGTTTCCGAAAGAAAGTGCTCATGTTGGCCCTGTATTAAGCTGTGATGGTCCAGGTAAATGAAGTTGGTAAATTGAATGATTTAGGTGGTAAGACCACACACAAGTGTAATATTACTGTGCAAAGCCCAGCTCCTGTTTCTAAATATCTCTGAACAGACTATATGAAGAGCGTGCCCATGAATATGCTATGCCTAGTAGTAGTAAAATGTCTCAGAATCTTCCGTCTTGCTCACGAAGGGGTATTCCCTTCGACACCCCTATCAGTGCAAGGAGTCCATGCGTACTATCGAATGAGAGTCATACACCAAGTGTGAATGTACATTTTCAGTGAGCAAGCTTTCAAAAGTGATAGGAAACGGCGAGACGACGTACAACACAAACAACACTTTTTATGACCGAAGTGCATCTGCTGCTGTATTCAGCACGACACGCTTGTCTGCATATAGCATCATGAACAGTAGCGCGATGCAATGAAAGTGAAAGCTTAAATTATTAAAGTAACAGAATCATCGTGTATGTAGAGAGAGATGTATATTTCAAAAGATGTTGCGCAGTATATCAATATATATTATTGTACCATGTAAGAATGATGGAAAAACGCCATTACAATCCAAACGGTCACGTTACTTTTGAGTGATCAACATGATCAAAAGCGTGAGCGGCCCGAGCGCACGCTAGCACTTTATATGAATGACTCATAATGTGTATACACGTGTATTCACCTAAGTTATGCAGCAAAGGTGAGTGATGATGGATACAAGACAGAGAAAGGAGGACAACGGATCCAACCATGATATCCTTGGGTAAAGCGACTCGATTTGGGTTCCCGCAGTCCAATATATCATTACTGCGCCTTACACATATGCTCAATACTACTCTCCAAAAGAACTTTTCAATAAGACTATGGTAATCTTTCGACTGGAATGAGAATCCAAATGAGCTTTATGGCTAATGAGCTTGATCTACAACGAGAGCCCAAATGGAGACTATTATTGTTGACGGTTTGTCTCCGCTGCGGGCGTAAATAATAGCGTGTGACCGAGTAGGGTTAGACTGATATTGATTTCAAGCATTAAGAGCCCTCCCAAGGCTGCGGGGTTTCTTTTTTTCTTTCTCTTTCTTTTCCTTCTCTCTTTCCCTTTTGAACACCTGCGAACAACAGCAAAAAAAAGGGGGAGTACCTTTTTCCATTTTCTTTTTGCCTTCTGACAAAAACACATACACACACACACACACACATCCGCAGGAGCATCCAGAACCACAAGCACATCTACACATACAATGCCTATTGCTTTAACTCCATACAACAACAACAGCAACTACAACAGCGACCTCCACGACGACAACGAAGAAGAGGATCTTGATTATGACGCTCTCAACGTTGCATTCAACGATCTATCTCCTATGTTGGAAGACGACGAGATTCCTCCGATTATCTTTTTCCGTCGATCTACGCCAACGACAGCTACCACTGCAACTGCACCTGCTGCTATACATGATGATCAAGACGTGACCATGCGCCACTATAGCGACGTGGATGATGATGATGATGATGATGACGACGACGATGACAACCCTTCTTACTCCCTCGGTCAAATTACATCCGTGACGCAATTTTATCAACGACTACAACAACAACAGCAGCAGCAGCAGCAGCAACAATCCGCAGCAAGAGTCCGTCGCCGTCTTCACCGTAGTGGAAGTGACCGTAGCGATAGCAGCAGCAGCGGCGACGACGGTGCCACTGCTACTACGAGTCAAGCTGGAGTAGTAGGAGGCATCGTAGGAGGTGGCGCACCCTTGCATCGTCAACGTCGATTTTACCAGTTGGATGTCCCACCATGGCTTTTACGTACACCACCAATAATACGCCGCAGTAGTGCCGATGATGGTGTCAGCAGCGGAAGCGGCGCAGGTGGGGCAAATGGAAATGACACTCCTGTCGGGTCTTATGACGACAGCAACACTACAAACAGCAACAACGACGTTGATCTGTTGCAAGTGCCTCATGATCGATCCTTTCAACATCACAGCCGTCCACAGTCACCACACCATCAGCGTCGTATCTACGAACAACATCCTCACCGTCATCATCATCTTCAGAGTAATCTTTCCAGTATCGGTACTGGTAGTAGCAGTAGCACTAATAGTAATCGAGATCCACGTCTGATACGAAGAACACGTTCTCGAATGAGTCCCTGGATACGCCACCATCATCAACACCATTATCATCATTATAGGAGTTACAACAACAACAACAACAACTGTGTCGGTGAAACAGCGGTTGATTTAACCAGATACAGCAAAAAGTCCGAACGGCGGTCGGTTTCAGAGCATCAGGTACTGGACTTTGATATTGTCATGGATGATGGCGGACAGTACCGGTACGAGTACGACGATGGAGATGACGACGGGAGGTAAGCAGTCCAACTAGAGAGATACTGTGTGTGTGTGTGTGGAAGGAGCACAAGCAGCTTTGTTTTTTGCATATGCATAATGCTGATAGATTGGAACTCCGGCTCTCTGTTATAACTTTAGCTCATTGTTCGGTGTCGAAAATATCTTGCAAAACGATGATTCAGTCTATTGGTAAATAAGCACATTTATCTCGGCCGTAGCAGCAGCAGCATCAGCAGCAATAGTAAACTACTATGGATCTCATTAAACTGTTTTGATTAATAGCTCCGGAAGAAGTGGCACGATCAATATCCTCATGCAATACTGCGGCTCGGCTGTGAACAATCCGGTCATGGCGGACAAGAGTTGCGTGATTTCCCAGATTGTAATCAAATCGCCGCAACAAGGGTAATTTAAGAACAACCTTCTCTATCTCACGTGTATATCCAAACATCACACTCACATCTTTTTGTCTGTGAATCTTTGTCTACTAGATTTACTGCACCATGTATGGCATTAAAAGAACAACGTGGAAATAAAAGGCCTTTAATTACTAAGAACAAAAAATTACTAATAAATAGGCAAAGAAGGTCTCTTTTTCGTTTCATATAACCCAATCGACATTGACAGTAAGTTATCCATTTGGAGGGGGAGTTGGGTTGCCTAACAAACAGTTACGGGTCTGATACAATGTTCTTATTAGGTACTGCAAAATTCGATCATTTCACAAAAAACGATTATGAGAGATACGTGCGATTAAAGGGTGGTCTTGATTGTCTTGATGATACGGATCCAGTAGCGTGGTTCAGCATGTCGAGCAATAGACAGGATAGTGTGCATCTCGACGACAGGTACATCATCTCTCTTTTTTATTAACGATTCTACATGTTACTCGGAATGACTCACTGTTAGAATATAGGGTCGGAAAATACGTACTGATCAAATTGCTAAGAGCTGAAGGAGACTCGGAAAACATTGATCTGCAATATGTTGCCGTCATTGGTTATTCCGGTGCTCGAGCATTTGCTGGTGCACGCATCTGTTGATGAAGGACTTGTTCTTACAAACAATCAATCGGCTCCCCACCCCTCCTGTATATCAAACAAAAGCAAGAGTACGAAAAAGACCCTTTTACCAAAATGCACTTTTCTAACCGCTTCACATACACACACACACACACACACACACACCCATGCTCTTTTCCTTCCCTGTATATTACGCCTGTAAACACACAAAACAAAAATACACAAAACCCTTTTACCCAATATTCTGCATCTATCACACGTCCGACTTTGCATAACGATATTCCCCCCCTCCCATCTCTTTAACTGGAGTATGCATGCTACATAACCACGCCATTTGTCTTTCCCTCCATCTGCCATAATTGCCATGTGTCCAACCCTGAAGATAATTGTAGTAGCCAACAGCTTACATTTATAAATATAGTCTTTCCTCTTCTTCTCCATATGCTAGTGCTCTTGGCAGTTTAATTAGCTGGCGTACTGTGATTGTACTATTGTACATGTTCCTGCGGGATACATTATTAAGGAAATATCATAAAGCGTGCACATCAACACATTCGTGTAGAGTGGTGGTTGCTGTGACTAGCAAACTGTGAAATACAGCAGTCAAAGAAGCATTGGTTATGCGACATATGTATTGATGTATGTCCATTTGTAGCTATGATTTATTTTTCTTTTTCTTGTCCTTCTTCTTAGATTGTTGTTGCTGTGACTTGCTACTACCACTGCTACTTTTAATTGAAGTTTGCTTTTTGGATATCTTTCCATGATTCTGTTGTGAGGATGTGTCGTTTGCCTTTGATTTCAATGTTTCTATATCATCATACATAGTAAGCATCTCGAGAAAGTATCATTGAAGGATATATACAATCCAGGAGGCTTTGGAATTTTGGAAAGGTATATATTCTTTTACCTAATATAGCTTTTGCCTTTTTCACTTTGACTTCATTGCCGCTGTTCAGCATAGAATTGATTAATCCCATGGCGATATTGTCACTAAGAAGACGAAAAACACATGTATGTTGAGTCATCAAACCATCCCTTGATTACACACACACACACACACAAAAAGTGAAGACTAATGCTTACTGTAGCATGGTATCCTCTTCATCCGACTCTTCTTTCCGCAGATCAATTTTGTCGGGATAAAACGAATAATGGGGCTCAAGGCCGAAATGCCGAAGTTCAAATCCACCAAGGAACCGTTCATCGGATGGATCACGGAACTGTATCGGGCCATAATCATCCTCTTCATCTTCTTCTTCGGGAACGAAATCGCCGTCTTCTAGCATGATATTACCAGTAAGGTTGATCGGACTAAAAGAAATGGAAAAAAGGCGCATTGGTTTTCAACATTCAAGAGCTTCCAAGCCCTAGCCTCTCTGCTTTTCCCGAATAGGATCGTGTTTGGTCGCCACAACAACAACAACAACAGATACATTGAATTCGATACGTTACTTGACTCCAGTTAATATTAAAGTTGGTTCATCCACATCTTTAAAATAGACATCTAGAGCTTGCTGTTCAACCTATATTCAAGTTGTGTTAGAAATAATAGGGGGAAAGGGTACGCAAGAGAAGAGAAAGCTTAACACTGTTCTATGTTGTTATTATTACCTCATCGAACGTGAGCGAGCAAAGGGCAAATTCTTGGTCCCTTACGCGTACTTTTAGTGTGGATCGTCCCGGTTTTGCATCGTCAATCAGTGAGGCCTATATATATATATATACACACATATCGCGTACTAATTAGTTTCGAGGACGGGATAAAAGTGAATTTCGGCACCACCTATTCTTCTTCTTAGACAACAATTCTCGAACGCGGTTTTTGAATAGGTCTACTTGCCATTGTGAAATGAATGCCTTCATCGATGGCAAGTGTCAATGGTTCATTCGGCTGTATTACCAAACCTAATGTATTATTTGAGAACCCCCGTTCCCGGAACAACCGAAAGGTTAATATAATATTTCACAGTGAAAACGTAAACAAAAAGATAAAGAAACCCTCCATAATACGATACCAATGAAGTTTGTCGACATTCTATAAATCAATGGTATTGGTAAGAGTTTAAGATTTATTTTTTTTGCTTCTCTCGTTCCACGTTTAGGTGTGTATTCCTTTTTTGGGCAACTCCGCGAGACATAAGAGGGTGATTTATCCACTCATACATACACGCCCATCATCCCGTTGTTCAAACAACATGTTGATATGTACCATGATATCACGAGAAACAACACCGCTTCTATCTAATATTATAGACTAGCAGTAGCAGGATAGCATCTATCTCTAGACAGAATCTTTGTAATGATTTTTTGTCTATTGTAAGTATGCTTGTTTCCTCGTGTTGCTTCTCTACGTAGCTCCAGATAAGTTGTAATGACTAAATCTTTTTTTAACTGTTGTAGTATGGAAAAGATAGAATATCATAGTATGTACTAGATTGTCCTTCAGCCAGGATGATTGGTAGATACGTGTCTGAACGAATCCATCCATTAATGGTGATAAACACATAAGATGCAATGATGTACTTTAAGAATGTGATTATGCTGAGTGCACATTCTATCAAAGTGTTCAACTGACCGAAGAAAAAGGCATATTATATGCACACTGTAATAACTACATGCTAAACACGGCATTGGCAGCATAGCCTCCTGAGAAAAAGGACGCATATCCTCTACAGAGGCAAAAGCACGTACTCAACTTTTTCTTTACGCTATATCCCATTTAATAGTTTCTTTAAAGACAAAGAAACGCCCCCAACGAAAAATTAAGATGGTCCTTTTTTGAGTCTCACATGGGGTAAGCACAAAAAGTAACGTCAATGAATAACCAATGAGACGCCTTAAAATAGTAAGAGGGCTTATACAACCCTTCAGGCGTTAATCAGTCGGATAATACAATGCATGAAAGCAACAGGTCTGGAACAGTAAACGGACAGAAGTGAAGCTGTAATAGCAGGAAATCCTTATTTACTAGTGTGCATTATTGATCATGTGGGATATATGAAGACCAAATGATAGATGTCTGGATCTGACACACAACAACAAGCTGTAGGTAGCTGATTGTGATGCAAGTTTATTAGAATGTTTATAACAAAGTGGACTAAAGCGAATTACTGTAAGCACAAAAAAAACGATGATTGGCATTGATAAGTGTTGTCGTTTGACATCTATTGATCCTGATACAAGATGCCATTGTACTATGATACACGCATTTTCGTGGTCCCACGAACAAACGGAAGAACTTGCAACTTATAACCGATTTTGGTTTCGGTCTTTTCGATTAGAAAGACAGCGTTGTATTTGTCATTTGTTGCAAACTACCAGAAATTTATTGCATCAACAACACAATTTCTAGCTTAGCGAATGTGCATGATATATACATTTAAGAGCTACAACTATTTTGGGCAGACGGTAGTAGAGGTTCAACGCGACGCGACCAAAGCTTGGTCTTTTCATCATAATTGTACCATCGATCACGCACTCGCGGATGGCTGCGCATATAGCCATTCAATTCGTTGACACCGTAAACCTCTTCTTGCAACAGCTGGTTCTCCTGAACATCAGAAACAATTTTCTTGTTGTCTAGCTCAACCGCAGACGCAATGACTTGAGGAACGCGGGTATCAAGAGAGGCTGCCAGAAATACTGGAATGGAGAATCGATCCCGATCCTCTGGGTTATTCAATACCCGATGTGTCGTAGCGATGAAGATTTTGCGTGTCAACCGTTCGAATGTTTCTCCAATATTGACTACGAATGTATCCGGGATTGGTGTTGCATCCTTATATATTAAAAAAGGTAATAGAGTCAATTGGCGAAAGGTGGACGATGGAGAGAGAGAGAGAGCTTACAATCCATTGACCATCGTGCGTTTGGACCTGAAGGCCACCAATGGGATCTTGCAACAATACAGCTAAAAATCCATAATCCTGGAATATATTTTTTTTTCCTTGTGAACCAAAAAGACGTGTCATGACATTCCTTATTACGAATCTGTCTCTACCTTGTGTGGTCCAACACCTAATCCATGCTCTAACGGACGATCGGTTGTATTCTTCATGCCAGGATACCGAGTCAGTTTCATACGTGCGCTGTAGTCGCTATTGAACATTTCCATGAACGCCTTTTCATCCACCACTTTCAGATTTTTCGCCATAGCACTCAAGATGATAATGCCAACATCTGTCATCGCTTGCATCAAATCCAAGATGGTTGTCTTAAAGTCGGGTATGCTCTTTGGCCACAGGTTGGGTCCACGCAGCGATGCATACAGAGGACCTCCATCGTCTATTGGCTCAGCTGGAAACTCACGGCCAATATCCACTTGTTCTCTATAGTAGTACAGTCACTTCAGAAAGTAAAGTCGTGCTCACGTGTTATGAACTTCGTTTATTTTAAGTTGTCGCTTAGTAATTATCCAATTAAATTTCTTGGCATCAATTATTTCTAAGAAAGGGGGGGGGACGAATTTCTGTGTCCATTTTACTTTCTTCTTCCTATTTATAATTTATTTTACAGATATTGAAGATGAGTATGCAATTTTTTTATGAAAATGGACAAGGGCACGTTGTTGATGAGAATGGCGTTGAGCCGATGGATGTTGTTGTGGATGAGGAGCTATTCGTTATTGAAACAATAAGTTCTTGTACTCAGTTCTTAATGAATAAACCTTCGGAAAGGCCTAATCCTGTAATGCATCCAGTTATGGATAAGAGGAATAGTGAAGATATTGATATGGAACTATGCAACAAGCGACGCTATACGGTTTACTCTGATGAAGACAAGACTAGATTTTTTCATTTATTTTTTAGCAAATGCTTGAAAGCTTCTGCTGCTGCAAGGCAATTAGGTATTCATATCCGAGTAGCACAGAGATGGGTCAAACGTTATTACGAGAACCCTGAAAACATCTTTGAGAAGAAAAATAAGTCAGGTCGCCGTCGTATTCTTGGAAAAGAGCATAAACAGTTTCTTTTAAATTATATTGTTGAGAACCCTTCTGCCGTTGTCAATGAAGTGGTGGAAAGTTTGAAACAAAACTTTGAAGGTCTCAACGTTTCTCGTAGTACTGTTTACAACTTTATGACAACTCGGTGTAATCTGTCAATTAAGCAAGCACAGTTTCATCCTGTGGAAAGGAACAGTGAGGAAAAGATTCAGCAAAGATACGACTGGGTCCAAAGTGGCAGCAAACTGACCTGGATTTCACAACAAATTGTGTTTTTCTTGATGAATCAGCCTTTCACATTAATTTGAAACGGGGTATGGCTTGGTCAAAGAAAGGCACTCCTGCAATAGTTACAGTGCCTACAACGAAAGCAAACGCAACATCGATTTTAGGTGCAATATCTGCAAATGGCTTAATTAATGTTAGCTTGCGAGTTCCAAAGCGTATCAAAAAGAGAAAAGCTTGGACGTGCGACTGATGGTTATAGCACAGGGACAGTGACAGGCCATTATCTAAGCTTTGTAAAGGCTACTCTCGACGAAATGGACAAGTATCCCGAAATGAAGGGACACTACCTTGTCATGGATAATGCTCCTATTCACAACTCAGCAGACATTGGTAAGTATATCAATTCACGAGGATACAGATCCGTATGTCTTCCTCCATATTCTCCTGAACTGAATCCAATTGAGCAGTTCTGGTCAGTTGTCAAAAGTAAAGTTAAGTGAAATAAATTTTTGGAAAAAGAATTGCTAATGACTAGAATTGAAGCATGCGATAGCTTGTATTTGAGTGATTTCAAAGGCTTTGTTTCTCATTCTGTCAAATGCTTTGGTAAATGTTTAAACAAGGAGAGATTGTGAAGAGTTTTCTTCTTTTTTTTTTGTGTAGGCTGTCTTTTTTTTGTGCAGGCTGTTTGTGCAGGCTGTCTTTTTTTTGTGCAGGCTGTTTGCACAGGCTGTCTTTTATTTTTTTATCAGGCTGTTTGTGCAGGCTGTTTGTGCAGACTGTCTTTTTTTGTGCAGGCTGTTTATGCAGACTGTCTTTTTTTTTGTGTACACTATCTTTTTTTCTTTTTGTCATCCTTCTTTTCAGCAACCTTTTCTTTTTATCGCCATGGTTACAATCAGCAGAGAACAGGCTATATGCATGTCTTACTGTGAACCATATAATGAATCAAACGTCGTCAAGTTATCAAAGTTGATTGATGACATAAACAATATCGAAATCTGCCACTCGGACGATCCAACAGAGCCTATGCTCATTTGTCAAACAAGAATCAACCAAAACCCTGTCAAATTCAAAACGTACATCAGCAGAAATGTGATTTCGTCGCGTATAATAGAGAATGAAATGGTTCAGGATCACATGTTTCTCAGTAAAGTGAACAAAAAAAAAATGAAAGCACAGCTGATACTAGATACACCAACATTAACACTCTTGTTACTTTTATACAGCGAATCAACAACAGGTTGTGCAATTCTTGAATACATGTTTTCTACCTTATGATCTGGGTAACGACCAACTCTATGAAAAGAAAAATGTTACGAATGGCGACATATTTTCAACATTATTGCAACACACAGAAATATTCAACGACAAGAGTGTCACGTCTTTCGGAAACTGGTGTTCATCAAAGAAAGTTGACTTTTTGATGTGCAAGCCCAAAAGGAAACGTTATACCAATAATTCAATGATCTCTGTTCGGTCGCTATACATCCTAAAGGAAGAATATTTTAGTAAGACGGGATGAATACTGTATGTGTTCTAAGAATACAAATGCAACGGATTAATTTTTTTTGAAATTTTAGCCGAAATCGTGAAAAGGATTGTTCGATTCCTGACTGAATACCAAACAGAGATTCGAAATTTGAAGAAGCAAGGATTCAAAATATTGGGTTATGCAAGAAAGTCGGAAGGAGCCGAAGACCACGAAACACGGATCAAATTATTGAATCTCATGTGTCAACGGTTAAAAGAACGATCGTTAGTCAACCACGTGTTCGTCTCTTATAATTCTCAGGCTAATGATCCATTGGCTGAACGAGATATGAAGCAGAAAGATGAACTGCTCACACAGTTATCTATGGAAGGAAATACTCAAGGTAAGTAAATCAGTGTCTCATTGTATCCAAATTTGTTGATTGCTTCTTTTTACTAGATATACTGGTGTAGATTACGAATACAGAAAAAATTTGCTTGGTAGCATTGGACTATGCCGGCTTATCAACCAACTGCAATGACTTGTACGGATTCTTGACGTAAGGGGACAAATCGGTATTACCTTGATTCTCAAGATTCAATTATTTTATATATTACAGACAAAATTGAATTTTTCATTCATATAAAATGGAACTTGAAAATAATGTTAGTACAGTGGTCCCCCGCTTTTTGCAGCCCCACTTTTTGCAGATCCTCAATTTTTGCAGATTTTGTTGGAGCATACCCGCTCATCACTTAGTAAAATTGCAGTTTCCTCACTTTTTGCATTTTGCAGGCCAAAAATGGGGACCTGCAATTTTCCGCTATTAACTCGAGAGCCTGGGACACAGAGTCTTGAACCAGTGACATCTACATGTAATGTTGATAGATAGCGTCCTTTTGCTCGTCAGTAAGCTTTGGGTATTTTGCTTTTACCATAGTGGTGTGGAGGTGTCGATAGTGCAGTATATAAACATCAAGAATGAGACGACAGCCTTTTATATAAGAGTTGATTTATAATAAGTAGCCTCAGTACAACACCGACACTTTTAATTGGTTTACTATGAGTTTCAATCCATAACAATTAAATCTACTGTAAACAGTGATTTAATTTTAGTTAAGGATTTCCACTGTCAAGCTCCGTTCATTTCATTCACTCTGAGGCGTCGTCGTTCCTCCTAGCCTAGAGGGGGTATGCTCCCTACCGGTCCGCTACTTTTCAAATTAAATATTAAACCTTAAAGGATATAACTCTTTAAAAGGTTTAAAAAGGTTTATATGAAACATAAACCTTTCAAAGAATTAAAAAAAAAAGTTTTAAAAAAAAAGATAAAAGTTTAAAAAAAAGATAAAAGTTTTAAAAATAAAAAAATTATAATTTAATTTTTTATTTTTCCTAAATATGTTTAAACAATGATTTATCTTTAAACAATAAAACCTTTTAAGGAATTACAGTTAAGGTTTAACCCCCTAATAGCTCATTTCATTCGCTACCTTTCTATTAATAGCTCATTTCATTCGCTATCATATATAAAGTTACCCTTCCAGGGTTAAAAGCCTCCAGTGGGGGGCTAACTTTATATATTATTCTAAACACCCCCACCCATTACTCGGCCCTATCCTCGCTACCGCTGTGGAGCCATATAAATAAATGAAACATAAATGTTTCTATTTTTTATATTAGGATAAATATAATTATAAAGAAAATAAATTTTCTTTTATAATTTATATTTAAAATGGAAGCACCCCTATGGTGGTGTTGATGTAATGTTGACGCCCCACAACATTACCACCACCAAGAGTTTCAATCCATAACAATTAAATCTACTGTAAACAGTGATTTAATTTTAGTTAAGGATTTCCACTGTCAAGCTCCGTTCATTTCATTCACTCCGAGGCGTCGTCGTTCCTCCTAGCCTAGAGGGGGTATGCTCCCTACCGGTCCGCTACTTTTCAAATTAAATATTAAACCTTAAAGGATATAACTCTTTAAAAGGTTTAAAAAGGTTTATATGAAACATAAACCTTTCAAAGAATTAAAAAAAAAAGTTTTAAAAAAAAAGATAAAAGTTTAAAAAAAAGATAAAAGTTTTAAAAATAAAAAAATTATAATTTAATTTTTTATTTTTCCTAAATATGTTTAAACAATGATTTATCTTTAAACAATAAAACCTTTTAAGGAATTACAGTTAAGGTTTAACCCCCTATCATTGACACTTGATTAACATAATAGACTCAGTCTGTGTAACATCTCATACTCATCCTCACTTTTTGCAGTTCCCCACTTTTTGCAGTTTTTTCCACCAAAAACCGCTGCTGCAAAAAGCGGGGGACCACTGTATTATTTTTGAAAACAAATTAAAGACTGAAATTGAAAAAATTAATTTTAAATAAATGGGATTTTTTAGATAAGGAATGGCCTGAAATTAGAAATAGATTTAACCATAGAGCAAAAATAAAAGATATTAAAGATAATGATATTATGAAAGAAATAAAAAATGAATTATTAGAAAAATTAGGATATATTCCTGTATATTATTTTTTAACCATTTTAAATACAAATAAAGAATATCTAGGTCCTTTAGGGAAGTAGAAAAAGGATTAATTTTATTATATCATATAGTATCAGGAAGGACAGGACCAGAAATGGCAAATATAATTCCATATACTACCTTTTATGATTAATATAAAGATTTTTGGATTAGTAATTATTCAGATTCAAATAAAAAAGTTAAAATAGATTTACAAAGTTTATTTTTAAATATAAAATCAGAGTATTATCTACAAAGGCTTATAATCCTGATGGTTTTAATAATATAGAGAAACATAGTACAGACATTGGGTATTTCAAAGTAGTTGCGGGGTTTAAATTTATTAAATATAATTTAAGTTTTAAAGATAAAATGAGATTTTAAGATAATAAAAAGTTTAAATATAATAAAAGCTTTAAAACAATAATAATAATTAAAAAATAAATATATTTTAGTATTTAAAATTGTCAAAAAACTTTAAAAATAGATAAATTAAAGGATAAATTTAAAGTTATATAATATGGAATGTTTCTCATAACTTTATTTATAAATGGGCATGATAGTAAGATTAAATACTATAATCCTAATGAAAATACTAAAAAATTATATTCATATAAATTAAAAGGTTTAGGATTAAGAACACAAATTGTAGTAGATATTAATAAAAGTATTATTTTTGTTTCTAATAGCGATAAATGTGCTATTAGTAATGACGGTACTATGTTTTTAA